GCCCAGGAGGCTCTGCCCCGACCACGTGCAGAGGCTCCTCAGGGCAGGCGGCGCGCAGCGGCTAGGCGGATCCCTAGCCCCACGAGCCGGGGCAGGGGCTGGAACCAGATGCTCCTCGGGTTGTTCAGAGCTGGGGAAAAGCTTTCAGGTCCCAGTGGCCCGCCCATTTCTCGCAGGCTTGCTCCGCCGTGGCTTGAAGCGGTTCCATCAGTGGGGCTCCTAGTCCCGAAGGGCGAGCCTGGGGGCCCTGAGCTGCGGTGACATGCTTGTCTTTCATTATTTGTCTGCAGTTTTTGACCTGAGACTTCACAGCAATCTGTTGCCGGAAAGAGCAGCTCCCAGGTTAGGTTGCAGGAGCCACACACACTACTCCGTTCTGGCACCGGCATCAAGTCCCTGAGCCATGGAATTGGCCCTGCCTTAGCTGCCAAGTAAAATCCAGAAATCAGGGTTACAGCCAGAAACAGACATTAACCTCAGAACTGAGGGATGCGCAGGCGGTCTTCACATCACGTTCAGGCAAGAGCCTGTTGTCTCTGGAGTTGCTTTCAGTTTGTTTAACTTCTGGTGGAACTGTTTACACAACATAAAAAGCAATTGTAGCTGGGATTAATTTATGCTCACTAAGGTCAGGTTGTTTCTATTCAACGATAAGAAATGCACCAAGGGGAAGGGCTGCAATGGCAGCCCAGCAGTGTCCCCTGTGCTGAGTTCAGCCACTAAACCCGCATGTCCAGGATGATCCCCTCAGATCTTTGGCACTGTAGTTAAAGCTCACAACCTAGTGGATTTGCAGCACAGCTGCTGCACAGCAAATCCCCTCAGTCTGGAGCGGAGGGAGGGAAATGTACAATAAAATGTGCCTGCAGAAGTTCTGGATGGGTCCAGTGTTGAACAGGCCATCACCTGTTATATTCACCTGCTCCAATCACCCCTGCTTTCCCAACTCACTGAACAAAGGGACTGGGTATAACTTGACCAGCCCTCTCTGTGCTCAAAAACTGCTAACTTGCTGAGTGAGCAAGCAAGCTAGCTGGGAAAAGAAATCACCCTCACCCCCACCCCTGCTCCCCAGTACATGCACAGAGCACATGGTACTGAGTGAACAGTCACAGAAGCTTTAAACAAACATGCATGTGTGCAGTATCTGCCCCCCTCAGCAATGCACAACTAGATGCCTCATGGGCGGGGGAGCTTTACCTTGTTCTGAGCCATTGGTATAGATGGGCCTGATGAGCCCGGATGAGTTGATACAACATGGGAAAACGTGCTGTCTCTAGCCACAGAAGGGGTGCCTTGCTGTGACAGGTGGCACAGCTGGACTCCGCCCTGCTGGAGGCTGCATGCTTTATACAGACCTGTCTGTCAGTGAAAGCTGAGGACAGGAGGGGAAGTCTGTTCCTGACACTCATCCAGCACAAAATGGTCAAGAGCAGACAGTGGCACACTCTTCAAACACATCTGTCTCCTACCATTGGACTCACTCCCTGCACACCCCTGAGAACTGCACAGGGCCAAGGTATGAGCACAAAACCAGCAGTCTGAGCAGCAGTACAAGAAGGTATCATTCC